AAAAAAAAAAAAAAAAAAAAGTCACCTTATTCCGATCATGTTATATATTTATAAAAGCTTGTATAAGAAATAATTAAAAAATAGGGTAAAATATAGGTAATAATTTTAGAATTTAATCATCGTGTACATAAATAGTAATTTTTTTTATACTATAAACTATCATATATCATTGTTGGCATGATTTATTTATTTATTTATTTATAATCAAAATGAACAATCTATCATAAATAGTAGTTTGTGAATACATGACAGTATAGTACATCACCCATTTTCTTATATAGTTTAGTAATAATTAAAAGTAAAAAACAGAAAAGAATTTCTCCAAACAAATGTAGCTAGTTTTGATATATCCACGATGGTATTGCCACAGCAATCCTAGCTACATTTTAATTTAAGTAATTGCAACCACGACTATAGCCACAGTCATTACCAATTAATCTTTAGAGTTTAGATATTGCCTATGTATTACTGTTACAAAAAATCAATTGCCAACTCTTACGTGATTTGGTGCATGGTTAACATGTAGTAAGTTATGAATTTCAGATTGACCCTGTGAAGTACAAGAACACCAGCACTGGATTTGGCCTCATACTAAAGGAGCAGGGAGTGAGGGGCTTGTTCCGTGGGTGGGCACCGACCCTTGTTGGTTACAGCGCACAGGGTGCCTTCAAATATGGACTCTATGAGTACTTCAAGAAGTACTATTCTGACATAGCTGGTCCAGAGTATGCAACAAAGTACAAGACATTGATTTACCTAGCTGGTTCGGCTTCTTCTGAGTTAATTGCAGATGTTGCTCTTTGCCCATTTGAGGCTGTTAAGGTTAGAGTTCAAACTCAGCCTGGTTTTGCTAGAGGCCTGTCTGATGGACTACCAAAATTGGTCAGAACTGAAGGAGTCTCAGGGTATGCTTGTCATTTTATGAATGTTCTTAATTAATTATCCCTTCCCATTGAAAGTGGTGTGAAGCCATCAATAAATTCATTCAAAATCACAAATTTGGTGGGTCTTATTTCTCATTTAGTGAGTCTCTCTTAATGTAGTATTAAGACCTACTAAAACTTGTGATTTTTAATCAAAAGTAAAAAGAGTATTAACCAAAGAATATTAAAAACAGTGTTGCTAGCATTTTTCTTCCTTGCAATTGCTTTTCCAGGCATTCATGTGTCAGTCCAAAGGCAAAGTTACTACAACTATGTTTTAGATACACCAGTAAACAAAATTATTTACTATTATTTTTTTTGTAAAATAAGAAAAAAGTAAGTTGACAAAAAGACTTAACATATAACTTTCTTATTTAAAGTAAAAAAAGAAAAACATCTTTTAAATTTTTCTTTAAGTCTCACTTATGGTTGGACCAATAAATGTCAGCTCGTATTTTATCTTAGTAAATCAGACAGGCATTTGAGACATGAGTTATCCGATCTATGTTCAATGGTTACAATGCACTAACTTCATGAATGTGTGGAAAAGCTGATTTCACTGTTTCCTGTTTTGTGAATTTATGTTGTACATTTTACTTATGATAGAAACTGTTATTAGGATAAGCATTTAATGAAATGTCATATGATTTCAGGTTGTACAAGGGAATTATGCCTCTTTGGGGAAGACAGGTTCCATGTAAGTTCCCCCATCTTATACTCTGTAGTTTGCGCTATAAGGTGCTTTTTTGCTTAATTGGCTGCTCATATTGATTAGTTTAGTTTATGAATTCATTTTCTTTTTTTACAGATAATTCCAAAAATGTCACTTTTTTTTTTGTTTCCTATTGTCCGTAATATATTTTGGAGTTTGAGTCCAAATTTGACCACTAAGTATTCTGCTAATAATATACTATTTTTTCTGGCGGATACTGGTTGGTATTTTTCTTTTCTTATGTGTCACTAAAATTTGGCAGGATTTTTCATGGTAGTGTTAGTCATAGGACAATATAGTTTAGTAAAATAATAGGGCAACCAGTGAAATTTAAGAAGTTCTGTAATTGACTAATCTGAAAATTTGTCAAGAGTCTATGTATTGTTGCTCCTTTTTCTTTTTATGCAAACGTGTCATTATACAAAATCCTATCAATGATTACTATTTTTTTCCCTCTTTATTGCAATTACTTTGGAAAATTGCTCTGTTGTCATTTATTGATGATTTTGAATGCATTTACCCATATCATTTTTTCTTTCTTGCAGATACAATGATGAAGTTTGCTTCTTATGAAAATATAGTTGAGATGATCTATAAGCATGCCATCCCCAGACCAAAACATGAATGCAGCAATTCCCTGCAACTAGGAGTGAGCATTGTCGGTGGATACATGGCTGGTATATTATGTGCCGTTGTTTCTCATCCTGCTGATAACCTTGTTTCTTTCCTGAACAATTCCAAAGGGGCAACGGTTGGTGATGTAAGTGCCATATTTGATATATATTTAATGCTGCTGTGTTACTGTTTTGTATTCTGTCTCCATAACTGTATCTGAAACATCATGTGATCAACATCAACCTGTCTAATGAAAAAAATAAATAAAAAATGCAATGTTTCATAGTTTTAATTGAAAGAATACATATTCCTGGAGTACTAATGTACTATTTTTTTTCTTCCAAAATGCAGGCTGTGAAGAAGCTTGGATTATGGGGTCTGTGTACCCGTGGTCTTCCTCTTCGTATTCTTATGATTGGAACTCTCACTGGAGCACAATGGGGAATATATGATTCATTCAAAGTTTTTGTGGGGCTGTAAGTTTGCACTATGTGCTAGCTTGGTCTGATATAGAACATGTCTGAATACAAGTTTATAAGAACTTTAGATAGTTTATTTCTTGAAAATAAAGAAATTTTTTTGGTAGAGAAACTCTTAAAAACACGTCTAACTTATATTCATACATGCTCTTAGTTTTGGTTTTGATTTCATTCATTTGGCTATGGGGATAATGAAATTATTTTTTCTTAATTATCAGGCCTACCACTGGTGGTGTTGCTCCTGCTGCTGTTCCTGCTCCCGCTTCTGCTGCTTAGATTGCAAAGGTGTAGTGTCCAATGGATTAGCAAGATAAAAATTCAATATTTCTGTTTCAGAAACATAGCAAACCAGCGAATGTACCATAAAAAATCAAAGAAGAAATGCTGAAGTTGCTAAATAGGGAACTTCATATGAAGTGAAGGAGAATGCTAACAAGTGTCTTTGAGATACTGGTTATTTAGTTAAGGAATAAAAAAGTAGAAAAAAGTGTCTTCATAATAAATCATAAAACTTTATAAATATCATTTATTTACTAGTGTCTTGCGAACACACACTAGCTACCTAGAGTGAATAGTTGTTGTTATAGTTTTATGGTTTGTAAAATTTTTGAACAGCTGTGTATTGAAGTTCTACCTCACTTCAGTGACTAATTGGAAATCACGCTTTCATTTATTTGTTCTTTTTCTCCTTCTTTCCCCTCAACAAAAACCCTATTGTTGTTACAAGGTTTGAAAGGAATTGATATTCGTACTTGATGTCTTTCTAATTGTCAAATTGATCATATTTTTTTTTTCCATTACTTATTATAATATGTTTGTACCGGTTTACTGGTTGGGTTTTAAAGCATTATGTAGTATGTACGAAATAAAAGGAACAGGAAACACCAGGTGCGCCAAGTGACGAAAAATTGAGGTATATTTCAGCGGAACAAATCTATTATCATATCAAGTAATTTGTATAAATTTTTTCAACCATTTTATTCTTAAGATTTTAAATAACCAAAAATAATATTAAAAAATTAATTATTCTTACAAATTCAAAACTCGAATTTCACAATCTTAATATTTGAAAACTAGATATAATCTAATAAATATTAAAAATTCTTAAATATCTTTAAATAAATATAAAGATACAAGTCACTTGACCTCACTAGTTTAGTGATTAAGATAATATCTTCTTACATAGAAGTAAAAAAAAAAAAAAAAAAAAAAAAAAAAAAAAAA